AGGGAGGGGTTTTTTCTCATCTTGCTCAAAACCAAGAATTAGGAAGAGACTTAGGAAACTATTGCAGATGCTCTTATATAGGGCTTGTTTGTTCCATAGTCCCTGTGACTAAACTTTAGTCCCTAATCTGTTTGGATCCAGAGACTAATGGCTATTAAAGGTAATGAGCAAAGACCAAAACATCCCTATTAATGGCAGCGGGGTGAGAAACGGGGCAATAATGAGGGGCAGGAGCTGTCCTTTTATGTCTTTTTCTCTTTTAATCACCATGTTTAGCTTTTTATTAGGGACTAAAAGAAGTAAAAGTGGGATGGATAAACTTTAGTCGTCTGGAACCAAACCGGGTGTATACGGACGGCGACACCTGACTGGGCAAGTGAGCATCCATCATTGACTATTTTTGTTGCGTTTGACGGTACACCGTACACATCCATGTTTGACAGTACACCGTATACACATCCAAGTTTGACCATGACATGGTGGAGCGATCAACGACGCTGCCGTTCTGACCTCCAACTTATCCCCAATTCGCAGCCTTAATCGTCGACGACTAGTTGCTTCACCGATGTGGAGCGCAGACCCGAGACGGAGCTAACCGGCTAGTCCAGCGGCTCGGCGGCTGCAGTCCAAACGACCAGGTGCGCTGGCTGCGCACATCCTCGTCCGCAGGAGGGCTGGACAAAATACTTGAGGTTAACTTGTTGGACTCGTGGCCAGTTCAGCTCGGCTCGTTTTAACTTTTTCACAAATTAAGTTGAAAGTCTAACTCATTATTTTAACGAGCTAGCTCACGAGCTAAAACGAGCTGAGACTTATCAGTCCATGGTCATAAATTCAGAAGATGATGATGCTAACCTAGAAGTGTATACCTATTCTATTGGTACGTAATTCTTATTTTCAGTTGTTTCATATGAATTTTAATTTTATAATTGTTGTGATACTTAAATGTTGATTTTATGGATTATTTTCAGGGAGAAGATGACGGCGACGACATTGAATCTGTGGACTTTTCTAAGTTTGTGGTGGCGACAAGTAACTAGTTAGTATGTTGGGATTATGAATGGACCAGCTATATTACATGGTTGATATTTTTGATGAACCTATATGTTTTAATCATATATGGTTGCATAATGATGGACGTCACCTTCGAAAATTAATATAGTATAAATATTATAAACATATGTGTCCTATTTTTATATATAGCCCACGAGCTAAATGAGCTAGCTTAAGCTCAGTAATGAGCTACACCTATGACTCATAATATTAACGAGCCAAGTCGAGCCTACCGAGTCATCACGAGCTGGAGCGAGCCGAGCCGCCGCCTCGATATCCAGCCCTAGTCCGCTCCTGAGTCCTGAGTCCTGACGCGTAGGCCATGTCAACGTGTGATGTGACCGCGAGCCCCTGCCTGCCCCGCCCGGCGGCCGCAGCCCGGTCGTCCGCTTGCCCCGTTCCGCCGCTCGCGACGCGATACGCCGTGACAAAAAAACACGCGCGCAAGGCGCCGACCCGGTCGCTTTCGGCTCTTGCTATTCCCCAACGCAGCGACCACACCACACTCGCGCCGGGTCAAGAGCGCGCGCGCACGGCAAACGGCATCGGCGCCTCCCAGGTCGCGGAGAAGCAGGCCGCAAACCCCCTCCCTCCCTCATCGTCAAACCCCACTCGCAACCGGCAACCGCGGACGCGTTCCGCCTCGCGCCTGTGCCCTCCCTCCTTGCCCTGCTCCCCACGCAAGGGCCACCGCGCGCCGGAGCGCATCCCATCCCATGGCGGCGCCGCAGCGTCCCAGGCCGCGCCAGCGGCCGCAGCTCGCGCGCATCAACGCGATGAAGCACTCCTCGTACACGGCCCAGGACGACGGCGCCGACGACCTCGCGCCGGTCGACCTCGGCCCGGAGTTCGCGTCGCAGACCAGCTTCCGCATCCGCCGTGGGGGCGCGGAGGGCGCCGACCTCTTCCGGAAGCTCGGCCTCAAGGGCCCCGAGGACTTCACCATCCCGCCGGCCGTCTACGCCGCCGCCATGGCGCACATCCCCAACGCTTCCCGCAGCCGCCGCCAGTCGCTTGAGGCGCCGCCGCTGCTGCCGGGCGCGGGCGCCGAGGGGATGGCGCCAACACCACAGGGGCCGCCAGATGTTTCTGGACGGGACGCCGCGGTCGCAGCGAGACTGGATGCAGCCGTCGAGGGTGAGCAAGCTGTGTTGGCCGCCAAAGTAGTCCAACCGGAGGCTGCTGAAGTTTCTGCACGATCGTCCAAGGGGTCTGGAACCGAGTCGAGCAACAGAGCTGTCCAATTGGAGACAGGGGAATCTTCCAGACGAGTGATTGCCGCCGTGGTGAAGGAGAGGACTGCAGACGGAGTGAAGGGAAAGGGCGATGTGGTCAAGGTGGATCAGCTACGAGTGGAGAGAACAAAAGCGGTGGTTGTCGAGGCGCCAAGAGAGACTACCGCTGCCGTGGTTCAAGCTGTAGCGGAGTCCCCTTCTCGGAGCACCGAGTATTTGATCTCGCCGTCGCCAAACAGACGGTTTAAGAGAACTATCACGTCTTGGCTCAAGGGACAGCATCTCGGCAGTGGATCTTTTGGTTCAGTGTACGAGGCGATTAGCGAGTAAGTTTGGATCTTCCTACTTCATGATAATTACTATCATATTTGCATTATTGTGTTTTTGTTTGCGTCATAATTAACTAGGACAGAGAGAACAATGGAAGCACAGCTACAGTTTTGCTCTGCGGAATATACATAGTATTGCTGAAACTGTGTTTATGTTCTGGTATATCAGCTATCAAGTTTTAGCGTGCATAATTGGGATCTTATGGTGCTACTAGCAGTTTTCACATATATTGCAATGGATGTAATACTTCTCATTTTAGGCGTGCTTAACTATTGCCTGACTTTCAAAAGAATATACTGGACATCAGTTTTTAGTTGACCCTAAGTCAAGTCTTATTCGTTGGATTTTAATCTATCTTGGAATCTTTGTTTGAGGGATAAAATCTCCTGGTGTTTCATGCAGAGTCCTGTGTCCCATCTGAGCTTTCACTTCATTAGGATTCTCTGTGCCAGAAACAATATTTAGTTATATATAATAATTATAAGATTGGCATGCATATATCGATCTTTTCACAGGTTGTCTGTGATGCCATTTCTTGATGTTGGCTAGCATTATATGAGATCAATTTATCATTTTCATAGGAACTCCGGAGTTCACAAATTTTCTATTATCAAATGCAGCTATTTGGTGGGAAAACATTCAGACAGTTTCGATGAACACATACATCCTGTGCAACACAATATTTCAGAGACTGACGTCTAACATGTATTTTACAGTGATGGCTTTTTCTTTGCTGTCAAGGAAGTATCATTAATGGACCAAGGACTCAATGCAAAACAACGCATTCTTCAGCTTGAACATGTGAGTTATGAATTATGCATGCTTGAAAATTATGCTGATTACGCTGCTTCAAACATGTTTCTCAATCATCCAATTATTTTTCTTGACTTCCACTGATAATTGGTAATTATTTTTGTTTCACTGTTTCAGGAGATATCTCTCTTGAGTCGTTTGGAGCATGAAAATATAGTTCAGTATTTTGGAACAGATAAGGTACTAAACTCATTTCTATAGTCATGAAATTCATTTCCAGAATAAAACTATGATAAGCATACATTTATTTTCTATCTTAAAATTTTCTCTATGTGGTGATTGCTTTGTTGTGCTCCGTTTTGTGCTCTCCTTTTGTTCATATTACATGCTATCTTCAAGTATATGGCAGCTGTCCATCATGAACGTTTTTTTAATGTTAAATTTATGGGACGAATTCTTTGCAGGAAGGTGGGAAACTATATATTTTTCTTGAACTTGTTACTCAAGGATCTTTGGCAGCTTTATATCAAAAATACCGTTTGCAAGATTCACAAGTCTCAGCATATACAAGGCAGATTCTGAACGGTTTGCACTATCTACATCAGCGGAATGTTCTGCATAGGTGAGTTAGGATTGAATCAGAATGATATATCAATTTGATTTTCTACTTTATATCTGGATATTGAACATGCTCACCCCCTATGTTACTAGAGATATAAAATGTGCCAATATCCTAGTTGATGCAAGCGGATTGGTCAAATTGGCAGATTTTGGACTTGCAAAGGAGGTATTCACGACGACATTCTAAACACCGTAAGATTCATCTAAGTTCTACATCTACATGTTGTGCTGACTCCTTCTAATTTGCATTTGCAAGATGTCAATTTTGAACCAAGCAAAATCTAGCAAGGGAACTGTCTACTGGATGGCCCCTGAGGTTAGTATGTGCAGTTGTGGTTCTGCGCTGTTTCTATCTCAGTGATCTTACAGTACCATGTTGAATTCTTAAAATAATCCAGAATATAATTCTAAGTATCTCAAGTGGTTTCAACATTAATGATGTGCCTTTCCGTAGTTCAGTTACTTGACAATGGCAAGTTTGATACTTATGAGCCAGCTTTTGAAAATCAAGCCAGCTAGTTGTAATTGTAACTGAAAAACTTGTAAGCACTGTGACAAACAAAAGTGTGATATGACTTCAAGCTGTTACTTTACTTTGTCACAAAAGTGACGATAAAATTTGGTCTTGCCAGTTGCGACCCAATATTGTGGGCATTTCCTGATGGCATATTTTCATTATTAGGTTGCTAAGGCTAAGCCACATGGACCTCCAGCGGACATATGGAGTCTTGGCTGCACAGTTTTGGAGATGCTGACAGGCAAAGTGCCATACCCTGATATGGAATGGGTGAGTGATTGTGCCTCCTCAATTTTCTGCTGCAGCAGTAACAAACTTGTATATACAACGTAATTTAAAGTTTAATCTTTGAATACAAGAAGAAAGAAAGAAGATCCGTGTGGCTACCTTTCCTAACTGATAGATTTGCTGTTTATCTATCTATGTTTGTTTTTGCAAATGTCATATGGTGTTGTTATGGAAATATCTGGAAGTCTCACTCTTTCTGTTTTCTAAGTAGTACACATATAAATATACATCAATATGGGCCTCTTGGGCCTGAACCAATACATGCAACCCATATACAGCTCAACACTCCCCCTCAAGATGGGTTCAATCATGCCCATCTTGTTACAAGCTGACATACATTCTTTAACTCCTAACCCTTTTGTTAAACAATCTGCTACTTGCTCACCCGAAGCTATATGACTCAATTTGAGTGTTCCATTGTCGAGTTTCTCCTTGATGAAAAAGCGATCAAACTCCACATGCTTGGTTCTGTCATGCTGAACTGGATTATTAGCAATATTAATCGCTGATCTATTATCACACCAAAGCTTCATGGGACCTTTCCCTAGCTTCAACTCGGACAACAAGTTCGTCACCCATAACATCTCACTTAGACACACAAACAGGGCTCTATATTCTGCCTCTGCCGTTGATCGAGACACCACTGGCTGCTTTTTGCTCCTCCATGATACTAGATTTCCTCCAACAAAGGTGCAATAGCTGGACGTCGACCTCCTGTCATCTAGACAGCTTGCCCAATCCGCATCACAATAGCCTTCCACATTTAGGTGATTATTTTTCTTGAACCATAATCCTTTCCCAGGACTACTCTTCAAATACCTCAAGATTCTATAGACTGCATCCATATGTCCACTCCTAGGATCATGCATATACCTGCTTACCACACTTACTGCATATGTTATATCGGGCCTTGTATGGCATAAATAAATCAAGCGTCCCACAAGTCTTTGATATTTCTCTTTATCTATTGGCTGTCCAGATTGAGCATACAACTTGTGGTTTTGCTCGATAGGTGTAGAAGCAGGGCGACATCCAAGCATACCTGTATCATTTAGCAAATCAAGAACATACTTTCGTTGTGAAAGGACAATTCCTCCAGGAGATCTTGCTATCTCAATGCCTAGAAAGTATCGAAGTTGACCCAAATCCTTGACCTCAAACTCTTTGCTTAGGTTTTCCTTAAGTCGAGCTATTTGCAAAGTGTCATCACCGGTAATAACAATATCATCAACATACACTGCAAGAATAGTAATACGATTTCCAGAGTGACGATAAAACAGGGTGTGATCACCATTACATTGCCTGTAGCCCATACCACACATTGCACGTCTGAATCGATCAAACCATGCCCTTGGCGACTGTTTTAGACCATACAAAGATTTCTTCAGTCCCAGTACTTTTCCATTGGTTTGTGCGGTAGCAAACCCAGGTGGGATTTCCATATAAACTTCTTCATGAAGATCTCCATGCAAAAATGCATTCTTGACATCCAATTGGTACAATGGCCAATCAAAATTAGCTGCACAAGAGATTAGTGTCCTCACCGTGCTCATCTTTGCAACCGGCGCAAATGTCTCGTCGTAGTCAATTCCATAAGTTTGGCTATATCCTTTTGCTACCAGTCTTGCCTTATACCTCTCTATCTTACCATCAGGATTTTGCTTCACTGTTGTAAACCCATTTGCAGCTAACTATCTTCTTTCCCATAGGAGAGGGTACAAGTTCCCATGTCTTGTTCTTCTCAAGTGCTGCTAACTCCTCGAGCATGGCATTACGCCACTTAGGATCTAGTTTTGCTTCTTTCCAATCTTTAGGGATTTTTGTGGATTGTAATGATGCAATAAATGCTCTATATGTGGGAGACAATGATTCATATGAGACATAATTACTTATATCATGCTGAAACCCATATCTTGTTGGAGGTTTTCCAGCTGTACTCCTTGCTTCCTTTCTTAAAGCAATAGGCAGATTAATAGAAGGTTCGACCTCTTCTCCCCCTGTTTCTGTAGACCGTTCGACCTCTTCTCCCCCTGTTTCTGTAGACCGATCAACCTCAGTACCAGTAACATCAACACCAACATCTAAACACTCTGGTTGCTCCTCTTGCTGCTCTACCAATTGTGGTTGCTCAACTTGCTGGTGTACTGGCTGCACATCAACTGTCTTCTTTCTTCTAGTATAAACTCGAAGAGTACCTTGTTCTTGCCTTGCATGTATATTTATATTGTCCATATTTTCTTGCCTCTCATTTACTTGGGCATTACCCACATTGTATGGAATCAATCCTGTGATAGTTCCTGATCCCCTTGATTGATTTTCTTCCTTGTCTTGTGGCACATCTATGTCATCCTCCCCCTCTTGACCATCCTCACTACTTTGACCATTAAGCTCAAACAAGGAACTCAAATCAGTCTTCTCCCCATAATAGGGTTCAGATTCTCGAAATGTCACGTCCATACTTACAAATAGTCGTCTTTCAGTGGGACACCAACAAGTATATCCCTTTCTACTTGATGAGTACCCCACAAATATACACTGAACTGCTCGAGGATCTAACTTTCCCACCGAAGGCCTATGATCCCTAACAAAGCAAGTGCATCCAAAAACCTTTGGTGGAACAATAAACTCATTCTTTCCTTGCAACATTTCAAAAGGAGTTTTCCAACCAAGCAATCTTGAAGGCATACGATTAATCAAATATACTGCCGTCATCACTGCCTCACTCCATAGGAACTTCGGCACATTCATGATAAACATAAGTGAACGTGCAACCTCCAAGATATGACAGTTTTTTCTTTCAGCTACTCCATTTTGTGGAGGTGTATCAGGACACGTGGTTTGGTGCAATATTCCCTTGGTTGATAGAAAATTGACAAACTCATTGTTCACATATTCTGTTCCATTGTCTGTCCTCAATACTTTAACTTGAGCATCATATTGATTCCCAATAAATGAACAGAAATCCCGAAAACATTTAAGTATTTCACTCTTGTGCTTCATGAGATATATCCAAGTCACCCGCGAATAACAATCAATAAAAGTAACAAAGTACCTCATTCCACTAACTGAGGTGATCGGGCATGTCCACACATCAGAGTGCACAAGCATAAATGGAGATAAGCTCCTTAGACCCCTGCTTACATATGTCGATCTTGTATGCTTTCCATATTCACATGCATCACACACAAGCTTTCTCCTGTCCACCTTCCTCATCATCTCTGGGAACACTTTTACCATAGTATCAAGTGATAAATGGCCTAATCGACAATGTTGGAGCATCACTTTAGCTTCATCTTCATTCATACTTGCTGTCAGTGCAGCGCCCAAGAACTTGTCATCTTTCTTTCGGTCTAGGAACCGTAGCCCACCGTACCTGATGCCAATTCCAAGTTCTTTTCCAGTCTTCTTGTCCTCAATGATGCAATTTTCCCGATCAAAAGAAACCCGACAGTCCATTTGATCAACTAAAGCACTTAATGATAGTAGGTTAACTGGAAAGGAGGGGACATGCAAAACCGATGACAGTGTAATTGATGGAGAGCATTTTACTGAACCAACACCTTTAATAGGTTGGCATGTTCCATCAGCTGTTTGAATAGTCTCACTATGTGTGGATGGATATGCACTATATGATTCAAACTCACTAGATGCACCCGTGACATGTCTAGATGCACCTGAATCAAGTATCCAATTTGCATATGTACCTTTGTCAGGACGAGCGAGATTGATGAGATTGCCGAGCATAGTTGCCTTTTTATTTTCCTTTGGAAACTCGCTCCCCCTTGAGCTTCCTTGCAATTGTTCCATCTTCTCCTTCCCATTTGACTCTTCTGTAGCTGACATTAGTTCAGAAGTCCTCGCCAAAAATAATTGAGCCAGCTTCACAAGTTCCTTAACGGTGTGGATTTCAGCCAACTTCTCAAACATCTGCTCAATCCTTCCACTTTCTGCCATTACTTAGTTGCTGCTATCACCACACTTCACCTCCTCTTCCTCAAGCACTCAAACCTCCACTAGCTAGCAGCAGCTCTACTACAGAAGCTCGATTTTGGAGCACAACTACAATATGCTCCAACACAGCTGCTCTCTTTCTTCCCAGAAACCAGGAAGAAATATCAAATCCACAGGACGACAACAATTTCTTGCTTATTCTCCCTCACGGTGCTCTCCTCTATTTTCCCCAAATCAGAAGGAAGCACCAAATCCACCCAGGATTACCTTCAATTGCAGTCCTGCCGCTGCCAAGCAGTAAACTGTCATCAAATTTCTCTCCTATTAGCAAATCCAGCTCCTTTCTTCAGTCCCTGCTCCAATCCTCCTCCTTTACCGCTCCCAATCAATACACAACCGCAGTGCCTCCCTGTCTACTCTCGAGCAAGCAAGCCACCACCAGAACCACCACTCTTTATCTCCCTTCAATCCACAGCTCGAGCTTCCCTTCTTTCTGATGCAGAGCACTCGAAAATCACAGACTTGCGGCAGCTCTTTCTTCACTATGCAGCAGCCCACTCCACCTCGAACTGCAGGAGTTGCCCCCAATACTCACCAATGTCTTCCTCCTTGCAGCACCACCGCTCGATTTGGAAGCTCCTCTCCGCCACGGCCCTTCTTGCCTGCTCACGCACACGCCGTTCCCTCAGACAACAGGCGCCTGCACCTCCTCTCGGGCTTGAGCTCGCGCGGTGGCCTCCTCCTCCACCTGAGCAGCTTGCTTCTCTGCCTCTTTCACGCCTCTCCGCCAGCCACCGTCACGCCGACGAGGTAGAGCAGGTGGTCGCTTCCGCCATCCCCCAGGACAGCTCCGACACCACGTTGTTATGGAAATATCTGGAAGTCTCACTCTTTCTGTTTTCTAAGTACACATATAAATATACATCAATATGGGCCTCTTGGGCCTGAACCAATACATACAACCCATATACAGCTCAACATATGGTATAGTGGACCAAAAATAACAGTAGTCTTGGTCAAGATGATTCCATTATTTTTATGAGAAAAATCATAAATGCGCACACACAAGTAGCACTCTCTTGATTGAAAGCTATACTTTCATGGTGAATGATATCATATTTCTCCTGTTTTGTAGACATATGCTTTGCTTAAAATTGGTAGGGGAATACCACCAGAAATTCCTAATACATTATCAGAAGATGCGCGTGATTTCATAAAGAAGTGTGTCCAAGCAAATCCAAATGACCGGCCATCTGCCGCTCAGCTATTTGAGCACCCATTTGTGCAGAGACCGCTGCAACAATATGGCGCCTGATGTCCTCATTGATTGCTAACATATTTGATTGTACATAAGCTGGTAAGTCTTCCAGCCTCCTATTAAACAAACAGCTGCTTTTATCACCTCCATTTTATCACTCAAGAAAATATTTAGCTGAACTTGCCTGTGCTAATGATTTTTTTTTTCATTTTATAGATTTAACTTACATGCGTGAGCTGTTGCTATAATGAGGATGACCCCTGGCCTGAATTCGGAGAATGATCCCTCAATCTGAAGGCATTACTTGCTCAATGTGCCATTTTCATGCTTTGTAGTTTAGGGGGGAGGTCATCCCTTGCTCACTGTACCATTTTCATGCTTTGTAGTTTAGGCAAAGGTCTAAAATTGCTTTCAATCTGGTAAGCACATCCAAACACTTAGAAGCAACAATGTGTGCTCTAATGTGGGCAATTTGCGTTCGTTTCAAGTGGTTCTTTTCGTGCTTGTCCCGCTCTTTATACCATGCTCTAACGACTATTTCAGATTACGTGTGCCTGGATATCCGGTTGATCTAGTGTTTACTAGTGCTTGACATTTTGGCCAGACGGGAAATCACTCTAATGTCAAAAATGTTGCGTGAAAGATGTTTATGCTGGCGGTATAATACAGCGGTTGGTCAATGCTCTAACATTTCGTGTTCTGTTTTTAGCCACGTGCCTGTACAGGTCAAATTCCATTTTTGTTGATGTTAACAGAGCACCTAGAATGCTAGTGTCTGTACTCTTTAGCCGATCATATATGCCTAAGCTCCACATAAAAGCTACATGGTTGTCTGTGTTATCGATCTCGTCAAATTGTGATCAAACATACTTAAATCAACTGATCTACCCGCTGTATACGCTGAATCCCTGCATAATGCTAGTCTGTACTCTTTAGCCGATCATATATGCCTAAGCTCCACATAAAAGCAACATGGTTGTCTGTGTTATCGATCTCATCAAATTGTGATAAAACATACTGAAATCAACTGATCTACCCGCTGTATACGCTGAATCCCTGCATAATGCTAGTCTGTACTCTTTAGCCGATCATCAGCCTGTTCGTTTGGCTGGGCTTGTTCGTTGCTGGATCGTGAAGAAGTACTGCTGGCTGGTTTGGTGTGAGAGAAAAATACTGTTCCGGCTGGAAATTTATGATTGTTTACGAGGGAATAATCCCAGCCGAACAGGCTGCATATATGCCTAAGCTCCACATAAAAGCAACATGGTTGTCTGTGTTATCGATCTCATCAAATTGTGATCAAACATACTGAAATCAACTGATCTACCCGCTGTATATGCTGAATCCCTGCATTATGACTCAGTGATGCTGGGCAATAACCATGTCCTGGTAGTAGTAACAGGCCAACAGCTGCATGCACTAGCAAGCTACGAAGACAATACAGAGACATATCTACACAGATGTTTCGTCTGTGTTTTTTTTTAAACTTTTTTTAACAAATTCCAAATCTCACACCGTTACTTTTTTATTTTCAAATCTAACACTTTTGGCCGCGCGCAAAGTCCGTGGCGTGGCCAAAACACGCTGCCGCGCCACATGCATCGGCGCGGCACGATCTGCCATGTCAGACAACGATTTCCACGTGGAAATCCTTGCCGCGCCAACGGCACTGTAGCGCCACGCCATCCAGACTGGCGCAGCGAGGCGCAACCTTAGAAAAATTGTATCTTTTTTTATACGATCTCGGAAGAAGATGATCTTTATATGAAAATTATATATCTCAACGAGATCTACAACTTTCTAGTTTTGAGGTTTTTGATTTGAGGCCGTTAAGATGCTCAAAAAAATTAAACAAAGTTTTAGCAGTATATTAATAACGTACAAGCCCTGTCGTCTTGGAAAAATCATGTCGTTCTTATATGGTGTCAAATGGAGATACTTTCTAAATGAAAGTTGTAGCCCTCGATGAGATCTACAAATTTGTAGTTTTGAGTTTTTGTATTTGAGATCATTAAGATAATCAAGAAAAATAATATAACGTTTCAACATCATATTAATCGCGTACATGCACTTTTCGTCTTGGAAAAATCATATCTTTCTTATATGGTGTCAAATGAAGATACTTTCTATATGCGGGTTCATAAACCCGGGGTCTCTCATGGACCTGCTTTTCAGCAAAAGCTCGGCCCAGCAGACGACGTTGCGATCAACGCGCAACTCCTAGGCCGGCCCAAAAATCCAACGACAGGTCAGAAGGGCGATCCAGTCTCCGACCAGAAGGCCTAGCCAAGGATGAACGACGCTCGCTTCTGACTCCGGCCCGCCTCTCCGACCGAAAGGCCTGGCCAAGGATGAACGACACTCGCTTCTGACTCCGGCCCGCCTCTCTGACCGGAAGGCCTAGCCAAAGAGGAACGACGCTCACTTCCGACTCTGGCCCGCCTCTCCGACCGGAAGGCCTAGCCAAAGAGGAACGACGCTCACTTCCGACTCTGGCCCGCCTCTCCGACCGGAAGGCCTGGCCAAAGAGGAACGATGCTCGCTTCCGAATCCAGCCCGCCTCTCCGACGCTGCTCCGCCCGCCTCTCCGACCGGAAGGCCTGGCCAAGGATGAGCGACGCTCGCTTCTGACTCCGGCCCACCTCTCCGACCGAAAGGCCTGGCCAAGGATGAACGACGCTCGCTTCCGACTCCGGGCCGCCTCTTCGACCGGAAGGACTGGCCAAAGAGGAACGACGCCCGCTTTCGACTCCGGCCTGCCTCTCCGACCGGAAGGCCTGGCCAAAGAGGAACGACGCTCGCTTCCGAATCCAGCCCGCCTCTCCGACCGGAAGGCCTGGCCAAAGAGGAACGACGCTCGCTTCCGAATCCAGCCCGCCTCTCCGACCGGAAGGCCTGGCCAAAGAGGAACGACGCTCGCTTCCGAATCCAGCCCGCCTCTCCGACCGGAAGGCCTGGCCAAAGAGGAACGACGCTCACTTCCGACTCCGGCCCGCCTCAAGGATGGCGCCCGCTTCCGACTTCGACCCGCTTCTCTGACCGGGAGTACCCCAAACCTCTGCTTACAGCTCTTCTCCGACCAACGCGGTCGGAGCCGACTGGGAAACGACCGAACGGGGACGCCCGCTCGGTAAAAACCCAAAGAATCAGGCGGAGCAAGTAAGGCAGGGCTCTCAAGTCAACCGTGATACCGAGGACCGTATCCTGCACACCTGCAGGACAGTACTGTCAGGCCGTGTCAGAAGGATGCACCGCAACCTTCTAGACATGTTAGAACATGAACAGTGTTGTGGCGCCGACATTTATCCTACAGTATGGTAGGCGTTGACATTTGCCATACCAGAAGAAGACGATGGAGCCTACAACATGCATCTGAGCGACAACAGTGTTGTGGGCGCCAACAAACCGCCTTGTACCCGACAACGTGGACAACAAGACTAGGTAGCACACACACTCTCTTTCTCTCACACTCTCTCTCTTGTAAAGCCATCCCCTTCATCTATAAAAGAGGATGCGCTCTCTCCAAAACGGGGACGATCAATTCGGACGATTCGAACTACCAACAACGAACAACAGACGGATCATTCCGATACTCCCTGCAAGCTTTGGACACTCCAAAGCCAAACAGAGCATACGTTCGAACACTTAGCGCACGTCGGAGCTCCCGTCACTCTCGGCCCTTCGGTCCAGAGTCCGACTGGACCTCTAATACCCCCCATCTTACTCCCAATCGTTTGTAACCCCA